AGCTCATGCAGGGGCGGGGGGAGGAGTACGGAGGAAGCAGTGGTCGTAGCCACAGCTGCGGGGAGAGCCAGCGGCGAAGGTTGCGGTGGTGGCGGAGGGGGCGGCGGCGGTGGCGTCCCCGTGCCCCCGGCCCGACTGTGTGGGGGGGGGGGGCGGGCGGGGGGGGGGGGGGGGGGAGGAGTACGGAGGAAGCAGTGGTCGTAGCCACAGCTGCGGGGAGAGCCAGCGGCGAAGGTTGCGGTGGTGGCGGAGGGGGCGGCGGCGGTGGCGTCCCCGTGCCCCCGGCCCGACTGTGCAGGTGGCTGAGGCGAGCCGACAGGAAGGAGAAGTCCGGGTCCTGCATGATGGTGGTGTCGGTCTGGCTGAGGCCGTGGCGCGCCGCCCCCCGCAGCAGCTCTCCGTCGTGGCGCCCGCACTGCCACCACACGGGCATCTCGGGACCGGGGGACTGGCACAGGGCAAGCCGCTCCTCCAGCAGGGGATGACACAGCACCTGTTCCCGCAGACGCCGCAAGAGGTCGATGCGGTACAAGGTGCGCGAGGCCCGCTCCTCCGTGATGGGCTCGATGAACAGCGTCGGGTCCGGAGACTCTGCAGAAGAGGAGGAGGAAGGGGAAAAAGATGTAGAGAGACCCACAGCTTCTCCGCCTGGGATTCTTTTTTTTCCTTTTGCTGTCAGGCCGCAGGCGACTTATGGTGACCCCATACCCCAAATTCAAAGGAAGCAGCGAACAAAGATGGGCTTCCTCCATCTAGCAGCCACAGTTCATGTCGGCGGTCTCCCAGCTATGTACGAATCAGGGCTGACCCTGGTTATCTTCTGAGGTCAGGTCAGGGGCCTGGCATGCTATTCCCCAGGAACGTCATCTCTGTGAAGCTATCCTGCCTCCTCCCAAGTTCAAGTTCCTCCCAAAGATGCAGTTTTTCCCTGCGATCACATTGGCCGCCTCCTCCCCCTTGGCTACTTGGTTTCTTTTACTTCACTGATCCCCAACAGGGACTCAACGTGGATGCTAAATGGCTGTACCCGGACATATTTTGTAAAGCCACCCCCCTTCCCCTTCTCTCCACATAATATATCTCCCCCCACCCCCAGTGTCTGGTTGCCAATTCCTTTTAGCAGGATCCTAAAGCAAGTTTTACATGGAAACAGACCCAACTGGACCTGCCATTTCCTAGGCAGCGATTGAACCCTCAAAGCAACTCACAGGAACAATATTAAGAACATGAGAAGTCAGTAAGAGCATTTCTTGGGAAGAGGAGGAGAAGAAGAGATTGGACTTGTACCCCGCCCTTTACTCGGAGTCTTAGAGCGGCTGACAAACTCCTTTCCCTTCCCCTCCTCACAACAGACACCCGGTGAGGTGGAATGGGGCTGAGAGAGCTCTTTCAAGGACTGCTCCTGAAAGAACAGCTCTGAGAGAACTTGTGACTGACCCAAGGTCAGACCAGCAGCTGCATGTGGAGGAGGAGTGGGGAATCAAACCCGGTTCCTCCCAGATTCAGAGTCCCCGCAGTTAACCGCTACATCAAACTGGCTTAAAGCAAGGGATTCTCAGAAGAGGAGATTGGATTTATACCCCGCCCTTCACTACCCAAAGGTGTCTCAGAGCGGCTCACAAACTCCTTTCCCTCCTCCTCCCCACAACAGACACCCTGTGAGGGGGGTGGGGCTGAGAGAACTCTGACACAAAGTGCTCTTTTTCAAGGACAGCTGTGCCAGAGCTTGTGACTGACCCAAGGTCAGACCAGCAGCTGCATGTGGAGGAGGAGTGGGGAATCAAACCTGGTTCTCCCAGATTAGAGTCCACACACTTAACCACTACACCAAACTGGCTCTCCAGAAGAAGGAGGAGGAGGAGGAGTTTGGATTCATACACCACCCTTCACTTGGAGTCTCAGAGCAGCTTACAAACTCCTTTCCCTCCTCCTCCCCACAACAGACACCCTGTGAGGTGGGTGGGGCTGAGAGAACTCTGACACAAAGTGCTCTTTTTCAAGGACAGCTGTGCCAGAGCTTGTGACTGACCCAAGGTCATCCAGCCAGGTGCAAGTGGAGGAGTGGGGAATCAAACCTGGTTCTCCCAGATTAGAGTCCACGCACTTAACCACTACACCAAACTGGTTCCTTCCTCCTCTTCTTCTGCAGGAGCTGGATCAGGCATAATGGAACAAGTGCCACGCTGATTCCTCACCTTTTTCAGGTGGCTCCCCCCCCCCCGACAGATGCTGGGACTGCAGCCTTAATACCAGTGCCCACACCCAGTAAGCAAATGAACTGGATTTCAGTATCAGTGGAGCAACCAATACAGAGCAAGGGCCTAAACCACACTTACCCACCACCCTCTTGCCCCTTCATCCCAAGCGCTAAAAGGCACCAGATATTCCACAGACCCAACGCAAAGAAGATGGACGAACCGACTTGCAAGGGGACTATCGTGCAATTGGGGGCCCTGGGGACGTTCCCGCACCCTGTCCTTCCCAGAGAGTGACTAACCGTCGCCCACGGCGGGTGGCAGCCGGCACACTTGCCGGCACATGGCCACAAAACCGTGGAAATACTTGGTGAGGCTCTCGTCCGTCTTCTTGTCCAGCCGGGCGAGGGCACGGAAGCGGCTCCAGTGGAAACGCATGGTGTCCGGGTCGTACTCCACTCCAAATGTGGAGACCACACGGTAGAAGTCCGACTGCTCCCGACGGGTCCATCTTTGCGAAAAAAGAAGGAGAGAGGAGCATCAATGCAAAGGGAGGCAGAAGTACCTCCTAGTCAATGAACAACCCTAGATCCCCCTCCCTATTTCATGAATGTGGGCTGTCCCACGGTGACCACGGGTCACTTCTAAATGTAACAGGATCGTAACAAGCGGGAGCTTCAATTTATTTTCTTGTTCAATGCAAGAGCTTCGTTTTGTTAGAAGGGACCTTCCGATTCCAGCAGAAGGCTGAGGCACTAAGATGGAATCCAGGCCCGCCGGAGCTCACAGGAAGATTCGGAAGGCGTTGGACCGCAGCCTGCACGCCGATGCTCCCTTTGCATAAAATTCTTGAACTTCCACCTTGGAGATGACAACGGAGACCTCCCGAACTCGAACGGAGCCTTGTTCGAGATGTGAATGCCTATATGTTAATGTTTTATGCAGAGCTCTTTTTGAGATGTAAAATTTCCGGAAATTTTGAAGCTCGGGGGAAGCTCGGAAATTTTGAAGCTCGGGGGAAAATGGAACTTTTTGGAAAAATTGAAAAAAATGCTACATTAGCATTTCTTTTGTCTTTTCTAGATTGAAAGTCATTCTGTTACTTTAGGAACATAAAATAGGACTATGGACATTTTTACTTGGCATGAAATTATCACAACTAGCATATTAAAAATATAGCGTATCCAAACAATGATTACAAACAGAATACCCACCCACATGCAAAAACAAAACTGAAACCTTTTAATTTTCTTCTGACAATAGCACATCCTAAAGGAAGAAATGCATCTTGTTCTTGCATTGGAGAGTTCAGTTTGTAACCTAGGACTTGCTTGTCCTCAGTGCACAGAAATTAGATCAATCTGATACCATATATATATAAAACGTTCCATAATCATTTCTTTTCTTTTTTCAATTTTTCCAATTTTTCGGAAAAAAACAAAAAATCTTCAGGAAAAAAATCCGGGGGTTTTCCGAATTTTTCCGTTTTTTTTCCGGGCCTTCACATCTCTAGCAGGGACTCCTTTGCATATTAGGCAACACACCCCTAATGTAGCCAATCCTCCAAGAGCTTACAGTAGCCCCTGTTAGAAGAGCTCTGTTAGCTCTTAGCAGATTGGCTACATTGGGGGGGGGGGGTCGCCTAATATGGAAAGGAATCCCTGCTACAAAAAGAGCCCTATGTATAATTCAGACGATTGTAGATAATTGTAGTTGTGGATGACTGTAGAGGTACGGTTTAGATGGGGATTGTGTGATTGTAGTTTATGGCCTTATGTTTTGTAAGTCTGTTTAAAATAAAAAAACACCCTTTTTAAAAAAGCAGAAGATGGTAGGTACTGCTTTCTCACTGGCACTCCGTACCGGCCCCTTCCACTTCTATGCCTAGTTCACAAAACCTTGGAGCACATTCAGTCACTTCCACGAATGTTCAGGGCAGCACGAGGCTCTTATTTTTAAACGCAACACTTTCCAAAGCTATTGCGTGGGGGACCACATGTCTGCATTTTAGAAATGAAAAATAAATGCCACTTGTTATTCCCCCCCCGCAACCCCCCCAGATACCCTCGAAGTAACATCTAAATCCTACCTCCACAACACAACGATTCTCCCGATTTATTCCCATTTTACAACCCAGACGCAAGCGGGATGGTTTCTGCTCACACTTGCCAGTGGTGGGAACGGGCAGGCAAAGGTATGTCTCCCCGGGTCCCCAAAGCCGCCCCCTGGGGGGTTACCTCTGCTGCTTCTCCCGCCGCACCATCTCCTTCAGCTTGAAGGCGGCCTCGCAGCGCCGCCGCCGCCGGTCTCCTCGCTCCGCGGCCTCCATCTTGAGCTGCTCCCGCTTGTAACTCCGCTGGAAGGCAGTGATCAGCCTCCGCAGACGGGCGGTGAGCGCCGAGGTCGGGGGCCAGAAGAGATTCCCCGGCTGGCCTGTGGGAAAGAGACGAGCGGGGTTCGTTTTGATGTCTGCCTGCCCTCTCCCCGGTACCCACCAGGCCTCAGGGGAGAAGGCACTCGACACGTTCGGGGCTTCTGCAACCTGCTTCAATCAAGAGCCTTCAGGAGGGTTGCCAACTCAGGAAATTCATGGAGGCATGTAGATGGAACCTGAAGAGGGGGTGGGGCTTGGAGAGGGGGCGGGGCCTCAGCAGGGCTTGATGCCGCAGGGTCCACCCTCCAAAGCAGCCATTTCCTCCGCAGATCTGGAGATCAGTTGTAATTCCAGGAGATCTCCATACCTCACCTGGCAGTCGGCAACCCTAGCCTTCAGGCAGGGCCAGACACACTATTTACCTTCCTCACATATACACAGACCTTTATTGGCATATGTTAGGTTACAGGAAGAAACAAAAGTGGATAAATAGGTAACGAGGAGAAATGAATCAATCATATGCATCTATACGTTGTGCAGACGGTCCTTGATTACCAAACTTAAAAAAGAGGCTACATTTGCAGTTATTTCGGGTGACAAATCATTCAAGAGGCGGCGCACCTTAAAAGCATCTGGACAGCCTATCGTATTAAATAAGATTGGATCTAAAAAGGTAAGACGTATCTCATTATATTGGGGAGAGTGTAGGAGAATATGGAGAACCGAGTTCGCTTCAAAGTGCTGGTGCTTACCTTTAAAGCCCTACGTGGCCTGGGTCCGACTTACCTGAGGGACCGCATTTCCCCATACATTCCCCAAAGAGCACTTCGGTCGGGGTCACAACACCATCTGGTGACCCCGGTCCCCAAGGAGGCCAAGCTTGTGGCAACCAGGGCCAGGTCTTTTTCAGTGGCGGCTCCTACCTGGTGGAACGAGCTCCCGGAGGAGATCAGGGCCCTGCGGGACCTTGTGCAGTTTCGCAGGGCCTGCAAGACGGAGCTCTTCCGCCAGGCTTATGAGTAGGAGCCACCACAGCCACTTACACCACCGCTCTTTGTAAAGAGAGACCACCGGGGGGTGGGGTAACATCCTTCCATCACCCCAGCCTTCCCCCCCTGTTACACAAGATGTTAGGCCCCCCGTTACACAAGATGTTAGGAGTTATGGGCATCCGCCGAACTGACTTTAAGTTGTTTTAAGTTGTTTTAATTCTGTAGTTTATATTATGTAATGTGCATACTGAACGCACTCGGTGCCTTATGTAAGCCACCCTGAGCCCGCTTGCGGGGAGGGCGGGGTATAAATGTCATAAAATCAATCAATCAATCAATCAATAAACTTGGTCTTGATCACAGTGTCTAGCTGAGTATGGAATCCCTTTATAGCTACCATACCTTCCTCACCGTCCACCACGGAGATCTCCTCATCCATCATCATCAGAGGGTCAGGCTGTAAAGGAAAGATCAGCAACGTGAATGCAGAGTCGGAAGCTGCTGCTTTGACCAGTCACCCGGTGCCTCCAAAATCAAAACAAAATGGTTTTGATCTAAAATTACGTGGGCTGCAAATGAAGGAAGCATTCGGATGTTTGGTTCTCATGCCTTCCCTGCTTCTGATAATTTTGTATCACTGCTCTTCTTAGATAAGGGCGTCAAGGTTCTGGGGCCACTTCTTAATTACGGTCCAGGAACTGACCTCGTCCTCTTGTTCCTTGGCAGGGCCGCCCACCGGTTTGTATTCGGGGTCCTCGCAATCCTTGTCAAAATCCACTCTGCCAATGGGGGGGAGGGGGGGGGAGAAGAACCTCGTTAATCACCTCAGATACAAAAAACATTCCCTCCCTCCTGTTAGTGGTCAGACTCCTTCTCTCACTGAGGGGCCAGTTTACAGATAGAAAACCATAAACATCCTTCCTAATATATCTTCTCAAAATATTGTAAGTGCAATACACTGCCTAGCCCAAAATGACACAAAATGGATGCCAGTCAGAAACAAGCCAGGACTTGTAGTTTAGAAGTGTAAGAGCGGCTGGATAGCTAATGACCTCCTCCCCACCCTAGAGAGACGCACAGTCTAGGACAATGGGTCTCCCAAGAACCTACTGACTCACCTTGGATTAATCTTATCAGCACCCAGCCTCGCTTCCCTGCACCCATTAACCCAAATTATGCAATACTTAATTCTATTCAACAAACCTAGTAGCTTTTCTCATCCAGTACTTACAGGGTCATCAAGCCCCATTTACACCTATAGTCCACCTCAGGAAAACCCATCAACCTTCTCCAAAATCAGTGTCCACCTCTGAAAAACCCATCAAGTTATTGTTTTTGGGATGAATACATCAGCTTGCACCAGGGAGCATTTTGCCCTATATCTAGAGTCCCTAGCCATCAGTGCAGTGTGTGTGTGTTCTTGGATCCATGCTCACATCCCCAATCCTTTGGGTCTTCTCTCCTTCTCACCATGAAACGCTGGTAGTTTTGCTGCTGCCTCCGTGGACCTCTTTCTTCGAGACTGGTAATTATAACCTAACCCGAAATTGCTTTTTCCCTTTTACTCCCTGATTTCCTCTTAGCTAGCCATGTATGTGTTTTCAGTGTGTTTGTATGCTTGTTTTATCCTTTTATTCTCTTTTACTAGAAACCAGTTGACATTTGCCTGATTTATTTTGAGAGTTCTCTTAAGGGAAAAATCACCATAAACACTGGTGGAGAATCCCAGTTATCCCCTGTTGCTTTGTCTCCTTTAAAGCCAATTCCCCCCAAATAATTAGGAGACTGTCTCTTTGGGTAACACCCTCATCTCTTTGTGCGTGCACCTCAGTTCTTCTCATGAGAAGCAAGCTTAACTCACTGACACCTGACTCAGAGCCAACAGCTCGATTCAGTGCCTCGGTATTAGCATGGCGGGGTCATCACAGGTGCATGGCTCTACATTCCCCCCTTCGCCCCTCACCCCATTTCTCCCCCTCACCCATCCCTGTCCTCTGCCAGTGGCCAAACCCCACAAAGACACCCCCATCTCACCCCTCTCCGACGTCCAGGCGGTGCTCGGCCGCGATGGCTTTCTCGTCGGGGCGACCGGCCTTCTCCAAGAAGCAAAGCGCGGGGTCCGCACGCATCGTGTTGTACTTCTCATAGCCTGAACGGGGCACGAAAAGGAGGGAGTGCATACGCTTAGCCTGCGTTCGCCTCAATATGACACTTCTCAGCAGTTTTCTTCTAACAGAAATGGCTAAAAGCAGGGGTCATTTTGTAGTAAAAGAGGTGCAGGAGCTCATTAGCATAACTTATTTGCATAGGCCACACCCCCTGACCTCACCGGAAGTGTGTCAGAAGGCAACACCCACTGCTCAGGTTCCACTGGACTGTTTTGGATTGCTAGCTATTGGGGGGGGGGGACAACGTGCAGATCTGTCCTGGCAGAGGAGGGAGAGCTTGTACCTGAACAAAACTTGGTCTTAAAGGTGTCACTGGACTGTTTGGGGCCGGGGGAGCGCTCTGCAACTTACGTGGCTGCTCCTTGCTCTGACTGAGGGCTGCTGGGAGCAGGGGGTGGGGCTTGTTGCATGTGCCCGTCCCCTGGCCTCTTTACTGCCAGAGCTCCGCTCCTGTGGGCTCCTGCAGGAAATTACCCCTGGCTAAAAGTACACTAAGCCCCTTCATTCTCAAGTTACGATTCTGTACCCCCCCCCCCCACTACCGTTTGGGATCAAACCAGCTGCAGGGATTCAAAGCAGGAGATCACAGCTGAGATAGAAATTCAGCTAGACTACCTGGATAGCCCAGACTAGCCTGATCTTGTCAGATCTTTGAAGCTAAGCAGGATCGACCCTGGTTAGTACTTGGATGGGAGACCGCCAAGGAGTCCAGGGTGGCTACGGGGAGGCAGGCAACGGTAAACCACCTCTTTTTGTCTCTTGCCTTGATAACCCGACAGGAGCTGCCATAAATCAGCTGCCAACTTGATGGCACAACCTCCCCCCCCCCCCAAAAAAAACACCCCATGTGCTTTCGTATCAAAGGTGACCGAACGGCTCACTATCGGATGGTCCTGAACTCCTCCCCCAAAGGAGTTTTTGAGGGAGGCGCCCGTAGCTCAGTGGTAGATCAATGGCTCGGCATGCGGAAGGTCTCAGGTTCAATCCCTAGCATCTCCAGTTCAAAAAGAACAGGCAGTAGGCGATGCAAAAGATCTCTCTGCCTGAGACCCCGGAGAGCTGCTGCCAGTCCAATTAGACTTTGATGGGTGAAGGGTCTGATCAGGGCTCTTTCTGGGCAGGAACGCACAGGAACGGAGTTCCGGCTGGCTCCCAAGTTGGCCACACCCAGCAGGAACTCATTAGCATAATAGGCCACACCCAACAGCAGAAACTCATTAGGATTGGCTACATTAGGGGTGTGTGGCCTAACATGCAAAGGAGTTCCTGCTACAAAAAAGGCCCTGGGTTTTGACAACAAACAAGGTAAACAGAATAAGAAGCAAAAGGTGGGTGTGGCTGGATAACCACACTTCTGGTAACATGTGGGTGTGGCCTAATGTGCTAATGAGCTGTGCTGTCAGGGGTGTGGCCCAATATGCTAATGGGTTCCTGCTGTTGGGTGTGGCCTATTATGCTAATGAGTTCCTGCTGGGCTTTTTCTACAAAAAGAGCCCTGGGTCTGATTCAGTGTTAAGACAGCTTCCGGTATGTTCCGGTGCCACTCGGCCACTTACCGTGCTTGAAGACCCCCAGCAGCAAAGACTTGTCAGCTTCCGCATCCCACCAAGCCGTGGGGACTTCTGCCTGATCCACCAGTGGAAACCAGATGTCAATCTCACTATTGGGCAGGAAAGGGATGGGGGAAAAGGACACAAAATAATGAAAATCTCAGAGGAACACAGTCAGACACTGTTAGCGCGTAAGAACATCAGAAGAGCCCAGCTGGATCAGACGAGTGGTCCATCTAATCCAGCATCCCGTCTCAGTGGCCAGCCAGTTCCTCTGGATGACCAACAACAGGGCATTGAGGCCGGGGCCTTACCCTGATGTTGCCTCCTAGGCTCAGGGATTGAGAGATTCAGAGCCCCTGTATGTGGAAGCTCCCCTCAGTCACCATGGCTGGTAGCCACTGATAGACCTCTCCTCCATGAATCTATCTCATCCCCTTTGAAATCTGTTTATTCCTGTGGCCGTCATGACATCCTCTGGCAGTGAGTTCCACATTTTAACCACTCTCTGGGTAGTCTTTTGTCTGTCCTGAACCTACTGCCTATCAGCTTCATTGGACGCCCTTGACCTCTAGTATTTTGGGAGAAAAAGTCTGGCGGATCTCTAAAGTGCTCCTGGACTCTAATCGAGCTGATCCGGCAGAGCCGCTCTTACGCTGAACTGTGACACAGTGCCAGGTGAGATTTACGATGGAAGGAAAAGAGGGGGCATCACCTGGCGACGCTGCCTGCCAAAGCCTTCTCAGCCTGGTCCCCAATCACCTCCTGGCGCAGGTAATAAAGCATGCGCACCCGTAGCAGCACCCTAGAGAGAGAAGAAAAGGAAAAAAAAGGCATTAAAACAGGGGATCTGTACAGCTTTTATTTACCTACCACCATTAGTGCCCTGGGAGTCTACTCTTTTCATTCGCTAGTCAGTAGTGGAAGGGAGCAGAGATAATGACCCATCCCACCTCCGGTCTGGAGTCTGGACATACAAGGACTCGGCCAGGGAAACCACACCTGGGAGAAAATCAGTGGGATGACAACATTCTTAGTCATGGTGACTAAAGGGGGACCCTCTGTATTCAGAGCCACAGTAAAGCTCCAAGCCCTGCGGTGCTAGGAGGCAACGTCACACACAGGTCTTGGTTTTTACATTCTGTTTTTTGCCTTCCAACTGGCCAACCGCGGCATGAAACTGGACGCTGCAATAGAAGGACCACTGGCCAGATCCAGCAGGACTTGTATCTTGGTACTGATTATGGTTCTAGTGGAAAAGAAGATGAGGGGTGGCAAGAGAACAGGTTGGACGGCCTTGCACCTGCGCGCATATCTTTGCAGGGGACCTAACGAGAAACCAGGTGGATCGTAAACCTGTAGGCAAAGACCCATCAGTGTTCACCCACCATATGAAGAGAGTAGGGTTGCCAGGTCGGATTGACACGCCGGTGGCGGAGGGACTTTCTGGGAGTGGGGGGTGGAGTGTGGAACATGCTGATGTCACACGGAAGTGACCTCATCACGCTGGTGACGCTCCGGCTTTTGGGCAAAACTCTATGGTAAGATTGCCCTCAAACCACCGAGTTTTGCCCAAAACCAGAGCGTCGCCAACATGATGACGTCACTCCTGCAAGGGTAGGGATGGGGGTGGGATTTCCCCCAGCTGGCCGGAGGAACCTGCCCCGACTTGGGGATTAGCAGCCCTGGGTCAGGAGTGTAAGAATCTTGCCTTTATAAATGGACACACTTCCGGGTCTTGTCCCCCCAGTAGCTTACTTGTTGCACTGGTGTTTGAGGTGCTTCTTGTAGCCCTCGTCCTGGAAGAGGGTGTCCGGGTTGTACTTGCGAATCCATTCGGCTTTCTGAACGTCGAAAGTGGTCTGAGACTTCACCTTCTTCCCCTTGCGGCCCCGCGGGACCGGAATGGACAGGCCTGTCCGAGGAACAGGAAGTGAGCTCAGAGCAGGGCCATGGCTCTCTAGGTACAACATGGAACCAGGGCAATAGGGATTAGGGTGGTCCCGGCTTTTCCGTCACGTGTCCAGCACATTGAAAAAAAAACAATCTCATAACACTTGTGAGTTCCCCCCCCCCCCCCCCGCCCCCCCCCCCCCCCCCCCCCCCCCAAGAGAGGGGGGCGCCGCTCTAGAGCCAGATGAATGCCAGCGTCACGTGCCCATTCAGCTCCGCCATCTTGCACTTCCCGGGCACGGGATGGCGGTGGTGGAAAACGCCATCAAGTCAGAACTGACTTATGGCAACCCAAGAGGGCTCTGAAGGCAAGAGACGCTCAGAGGCGGTTTGCCATTGACCACCTCTGTGTAGCGACCCTGGGCTTCCTGGGTGGTCTCCAGTGTTCCCTCTAAGCTGAGTCAGTGTGAGCTAGCTCACAGTTTTTTAGCCTCCAGCGCACAGATTTTCGTCTTAGCTCAGGAAGGAGGGCTCCAGAGCAAACTAACTTAGGCAGTGGCCAAATCGCTGGCTCACAGCTTTCATGCCAGTTGCTCACAAAGTAGGATTTTTGCACACAAGACTCCACAGCATTGGTCCAATCATGCAGTGTTCCCTCTAAGCTGAGTGAGTGTGAGCTAGCTCACAGTTTTTTAGCCTCCAGCGCACAGATTTTCGTCTTAGCTCAGGAAGGAGGGCTCCAGACCAAACTAATTCATGCAGCAGCCAGATCGCTGGCTCACAGCTTTCATGCCAGTTGCTCACAAAGTAGGATTTTTGCACACAAGACTCCACAGCTTAGAGAAAGCATTGGTCCCATCATGCAGTGTTCCCGCTAAGCTGAGTGAGTGTGAGCTAGCTCACAGTTTTTTAGCCTCCAGCTCACAGATTTTTGCCTTCGCTCAGGAAGGAGGGCTCCAGACCAAACTAATTCATGCAGCAGCCAGATCGTTGGCTCACAGCTTTAATACCAGTGGCTCACAAAGTAGAATTTTTGCACACAAGACTCCACAGCTTAGAGGGGACATTGGTGGTCTCTCATCCAAGGACTCACCAGGGCTGACCCTGCTTAGCTTCTGAGATCTGATGAGAATCTGCCTAGCCCGGGCCACCCAGGACAGGGCAGCCGCCCAACGCACCCCCAAGGAAACACCCTAACAGCACCCATCCCAACTGGCTTGTCATGCAACGGCAGCCGCAGTGTGGCCTGGGCTTCTGTAGCGAAGCCAGGAAGGCGCTCCGGGGCAGGGAGAGGAACAAGAAGACGGGCCGCTTACCGGAGTGATTCTGAAGCTCCTTGGCCTTGCCGTTTTCGACTGGGCTGATGAGGTCCCAGATGAATCCTTTGATGTTCTCGTCGCCCCGGTAATGCATCAAGCAGTACACCAAGATGGCCCGGCAGATGGTCTCCACGTCCCGCTCGGACATGCGCCGCTTGAATCGCCCGTGTGACAGGATCTCCCGCCAGCGTCCCCAGCTGCCAAAGCAATCCACGGGGGGTCAGCGCTGCCCTCTCCCTGAATTCAGGACCCCCCCCACACCTTCGCGCCCCGTGTTTAAAACGGCCGGGTTCCTGTCCATCCCATCGCTCTCCACCTCCCCCCCCCCCGATGCCACGTACCCATAGACCAGCAGCTGCTTCTCCACCTGGAAGCAGTCCGTGCGCCCGTACGAATGGTGGAGGGGGTGGTGATGCCGGTCGTGGCGCCGGGAGCGCGGCCGGTCGTCGTCGTCGCTTTCCAGGTCGGAGAACTCCACCAGGTCGTCGTCCTTCAAGGTGCTGAAGTGGCGCGTCTGTTTCCGCACCCGGGGAGTGTCGATCACCAGGTTGTTCTGGGGAGGAAGCAGAAGCCGGCCCCTGTGAGTGAACATTCTGCAAATTCCACCACATTCCCCAGCGTGCAGGGGCTGGACAGCTTGTGACGAAGTGGCTATGCTTGTTTGAAGGAACTCCAAACATCACAACGGTGGAGTAAACTAGTGACATTCTCCTCCCTTTAATAACACTAACACCACAATCCCAGGTGGACTTATTCAGAAGCCGTCCCCCACTGAGCTCAACAATATTTCTGAGTAAGCAAGTGTAGGATAGGGCTATACGGCGGCCAATCACCTCCTGAACACCCTTCTGACAGGGCCTTCCCTTCTCAAGCCCAGCCCTAAGGCCCTCCCCCTCTCTCCCACATCAAGATAAGGGGTTTGCAGTACAAACGACCCAAGATAAGCAAAAAATACTGCAAAGCGAGCACACAAAATTGTAAATAATTATTTAAAAACTAGTGGTAATCAAGTCATACAAATAATAGAAAAATACAAATTTCCAGTAGTATAATGAATTGCTGTTTGTTGTTTCAGGTGATGTGACGAAATTCTCCGGACTCAATCTTCCGTCTCGTTAGAACTTCGTCCAACATCAAAATTCATCAAGACGTGTCTTCACTGGTTCACACACATTCCATTCTGGATTCATCAATTTCCCCCAAAAGATAGCAGTATTCATTCCTATTACTCTTCAGAGCGTACTCAAGAAATGCGGGCTGTTAAACCTTTTTGTATTTTTGTCTTATTTATATGACTTGATTACCACTAGTTTCATTAATAATTATTACAATTTTGTGTGCACACGTTGCGGTATTTTTTGCTCCCCCTCTCTCCCAGCATACCTTGCTGTTCAGCATATCGAGATCCAGATCGGCCTTCTTGGCCCATTTCTGCCAGAAGTTCGGATCATCCAAGGCAATGTCTGTCCTGTTCTCGGACGCCACAAAGCTGGCCTGGGAAAGAAAAAGAGAGCCGACTGAGGACCACCCTGCAAAGAAATCCTTCATGCTTGCTCTTATGCGAGAGAAGCCTGCACATGGCCTCCAAATACCAAAGCTGGCAGGTATCAAGGGATCCAGAGAAACTTTACTTTTAAAATGAAGAAAACAAGTTTCTAGTCCTTGTGGACACAAGGGAGAAGCAGGCAGAAGAACACTTCAAATTAAGTTCATACTGGAATTTTTTTTCATCAAAGTGATCCCTGCAGCCACTAAATTCTGGTTCATCAGCAAAGCCTTCTGAAACTCTGATATTCTTTTTTAACTTATAAGCATGCTCCCTTGCACTGTTCATCTAGTGTAAATTGTGAGAGAGAGAAGAGATTGGATTTATACCCCGCCCTTCACTACCCGACGGAGTCTCAGAGCGGCTTACAATCCCTTCCCCTCCCCACACCCTGTGAGCAATACTCCCTCTACGCTGTGGAGTCCTGTGAGCAAATTTCTCTTTTGTAAAGCTACTGGTATTAAAGCTGTGAGCGAGCGATTTGGCTGCTGCATAAATCAGTTTGCTCTGGAGCCCACACCCTTCCTGAGCTACGGCAAAAATGTGTGAGCCGGAGGCTAAAAAACTGTGAGCTAGCTCACACTAACTCGGCTTAGAAGGAGATTGGATTTACAGCCTGCCCTTTACTACCCAAAGGTGTCGCAGAGCGGCTTATAAACTCCTTTCCCTCCCCCTCCCCACAACAGACACCCTGTGAGGTAGGTGGGGCTGAGAGAGCTCCTGACAGAAACTGCTCTTTTTCAAGGACAGCTCTTATCAGAACTACGGCTTGCCCAAGGTCATCCAGCCAGGTGCAAGTGGAGGAGTGGGGAATCAAACCCGGTTCTCCCAGATTAGAGTCCGCGCACTTCACCACTACACCAAACTGGTGTAGAAGAAGAGGAGATTGGATTTATACCCTGCCCTTCACTACCCAAAGGTGTCTCAGAGCGGCTTACAAACTCCTTTCCCTTCCCCTCCCCACAACAGACGCCCTGTGAGGTCGGTGGGGCTGAGAGAGCTCTTGACAGAAACGGCTCTTTTTCAAGAACAGCTCTTTTCAGAACTATGGCTTGCCCAAGGTCATCCAGCCAGGTGCAAGTGGAGGAGTGGGGAATCAAACCCGGTTCTCCCGGATTAGAGTCCGCGCACTTAACCACTACACCAAACTGGCTCTCTTAGAGGGAACACTGCCTGTGAGGGAGGTGGGGCTGAGAGACTGGAGGTGACTGGAAGAACAGGGATATCCCTTCTGGACTCTATAAAACAGCTAGTATACTGGTGGTGCTATACATACATTCTCCTTCCCGTGTTTCCACTTCTCCCCCACCCACCCCCGCCCCCGGCATGCTTCCACTGCTTTTCTAAAAACCTGTAGGCACCAGGTCCCTCCGACATCCAAGAACTCTGTGTCAGGCGTGATGCAAAACCCCGCAAAAGAGCAGCAGGTAGGGCAGGGGGCACGCGGGTACCTTGGCAAACGTGGACCCTTTGCCTTCACTCTCGATGGTGATGGTGGTCGTGCGGCGGAGCAGGATCTGGTCGATGTCTTCCTCGCAGAACTTGGAGCCCTCGTCGTCCTCTTCCATGATGGCCGCGTAGGCCCCCTTGCGCAGCAGGTCCTCAATCTCCTTCTTGGAGAACTGCTGGATCTGGGGGAAGAAAAGACGATAACGGAAAGGGCGGAGTGGAGTGGCTGCCTCCTCCCACACCGTTATCTAGGCCTGGAAACAATACCATGGTTTATCAGGGGTCATTTCATAGAAAAAGAGCGGCAGGAGCTCATTAGCATACGGTATGCTAATGAGCTACTAGGCTATTAGCATATGACACGCCCCCTGACATCACCGGAAGTGATGTCAGAAGGGGAAGCAAAAGGGGGGGGAAGGCATCTTCAAAAGCCTCCCCTTCCCCAGCTGGCCTGCTTGGGGGGGGGAGCGAAGAGAGAAGGGGTTTAAAGTTTATACCCCGCCCTTCACTTTGAGTCTCAGAGTTACGGGTGATGAGCCGGTAGACCTTCACCGCCTTGCTCCCTTCCCTCCCCCCTCCCCACAACAGGCACCCTGTGAGGTAGGAGGGGCTGAGGGAGCTCTTTCAAGGACTGCTCTTGAGAGAACAAGCTCTGAGAGAACTTGTGATTGACCCAAGGTCACCCAGGTGGCTGCATGTGGAGGAGCCAAATTGGCTCTCGTGAGCAGTGACTCACAATAGCTCCTCCCCTACCACAAATTTTGTTGGTCTTTAAGGTGCTCCTGGACTCTTACTCTTTTCTACTGCTACCCCCAGAAGGTTTTTGTGAGGATAATATGGAGCGCAAGAGAACCAAGAGTGCAAGAGAACCAAGTTTTCTTATGATTTTATTGTTTTATCTGGTTTTATGGATGGGCTTATGCCTCTTGTAAGCCGCCCTGAGCCCGCTTGCGGGGAGGGCGGGGTAAAAATGCCTAAATAAATAAATAAATAAATAAAATAAGTGAGCCTCTATTGGATCCCACTCGGGAGAAAGGCAAGGTAGAAATGAAATAACAAAAAACAAACAAATTGGGCACATGAGATTCTGGATTGTGATCCAGCGTTAGGAAGACAGCACCGACACCGGGGGGTGGTGGTGAGGGGAGAGACCCAAACACCAACCAAATCCCACATCCGCAGCCAAACGAATCCCACACACCCCGCGGACATTGTTGCAACGACTACATTGCTGCCTCCTCTGCTAACTGCCAGCAATCTTACCCCAGCGATGCTGCCTTCTCTCCCGCTCATGGACTGCAGGACGGCTTTGTCCAACCCCAGCTTGAGGCTGGCCTTGTCAAACATCTCGCGCTCGTAGGAGTTACGGGTGATGAGCCGGTAGACCTTCACCGCCTTGCTCTGCCCGATACGGTGGCAGCGAGCCTGCGCCTGGGGAGGGAAGAGGATGAAGCGGGCACGTGGGGGAGGCACTGCACAGGTGGTAGCCCACCCCGTGGCCCACCCCAGACACAGAAACAGGGTTTTGAGCACCCAGTGTTCAGACGCCTAAGACAAGACACAGTCCAAGGTCGACCCCCCAAGAGTGAGCTGCCTAATGCACCTCCGTTATTGAAGCTAAATAGGCTCTGGCCCGATCTGGGACTGGATGGGCAACTGCTACAGTGCCCCTATCTGATGAAGGAAGGCAGGGGTTGTTTCGTAGAAAAAGAGCTAGGGGAACTCATTAGCATAACTCATTAGCATATGCCACACCCCCTGACATCACCGGAAATGTGTCATAAGGCCACACTCCCTGACATCACCAGAAGTGTGTCATAAGGCCACACACCCCGCCCCCAACGGTCCCGGCCGCCACCGCCGGCCTTGCAACTCCACTGCCGAGCAAGGCCGGCGGGAGTGCAAGGAAGCCCCGCGAAGGCCCTCCCTGGCCCCAGGCAGGCAGGGGTGGGGAGAGGCGGGGAGGAAGCTACTTACCCTCCCTCTTCTCCTGCCTCCTCCTGGCTGAATGAGGTCCGTAAGCGGGGCGGCCAGAAGCAGGGGGCGGGGCTTCGTCATGTGCCCCGCCCCCCTGTACCTCACCCGGGGGAACTGCGATCCCCCGCGATCCCCCCTGAAATGACCTCTGAAGGGAGGTCCGACTGTCAAAAGCTTATGCCCCCAAATCTCATTGGCCTCTAAGAGGCTACTGGACTCCAATCTAGCTGTTCCTATTGTAGACCGACATGCCCTACACTCCGAAAACCAAGTCCCCCATTTGCACTGCTCGGTTAGTATAGGAACTGAATAAATGTCGGGCACACGCAAAGAGAGAGGAAAACAGAGGGACAGAACCAGAACGATTTGTCACACAGCCCCTCTGATTCCACCCGCGGGTTTCCCCCTGCGTTGAATCAAACCCTGTAGGGCTACAGAACTGTGCAAGCTTGTCGGTGTCACAGAAGCTGGGCTCCTCCGATTTCGGGCGCCTCCGTCTTACCTGCAGGTCATTCTGGGGGTTCCAATCAGAGTCGAAAATGATGCAGGTGTCGGCCGCCGTCAGGTTGATCCCCAGCCCTCCGGCCCGCGTGCAGAGCAGGAAGACGAAGCGATCGGAGTCAGGCTTGCTGAAGCGGTCGATGGCCGCCTGGCGCAAGTTCCCTCGTACCCGCCCGTCGATGCGCTCGTACAGGTACCTGGATGGCGTTGGGGACGACACACTTACATGGAATGCATTGCTTCAGCAACGGGGAACGCTCGCCGCCAGCAGCACCATTTACATCATGTCCTCAAGCTGTTCCCTTGAACTCGAGCAATACAGAGAGTAGTCTTCCCTTCCCCTCCTTAGGCTGCATGGCAGGGGTCCCCAACTGGGTGCCCACCAAATGTTTTTAGAAAGTGGGTCGGGCCAGGTAAGACCTTTGCCCAGCAGGGCTTCCGATTGGCCACTGGAGATCTGAACTGCTGTGCAGATTTTTTTAAAGAGCTTTGTCAGCAGCTGCTATGACAGTGCAAGGATCGTCACCATGTGACGGAAAGTAAGCTGTGTGTAAGCAAGAGGATACCTTTAAACAGGGGTCATTCCGTAGAAAAAGAGGTGCAGGAGCTCATTAGCATAACTCATTAGCGTAACTCATTTGCATATGCCACACCCCCTGACATCACCAGAAGTGTGTCAGAAGGCAACACCCACCGCTCAGGCTCCACTGGACTGTTTTGGATTGCTATATGGGGGGGGGGGGAGGAACGTGCAGATCTGTCCTTGCAGAGGAGGGAGAGCTTGTACCTGAATAAAACTTGGTCTTAAAGGTGCCACTAGACTGTTTTGGACCAGGGGGCTGGGGGGCTCTGCAATTTACCTGGCTGCTTCTTGCTCTGACTGAGGGCTGCTGGGAGCAGGGGGCGGGGCTTGTTGCATGTGCCCGCCCCCTGGGCTCTTTACTGCCAGTGCGCTCCTGCAGGAAATGACCCCTGCCTTTAAATGACATATTTATTTTAAAAGGCATCCTGTTACACGCAGCTTTTGCTTGAAAGGTGGAAGGGTTGTTGTTAGAGGTAATCTATTCCAGTAGTATTTAAATATTTAGTAACAATAATAGATTTAGACAAACAGTTAAGATGATATTCAAGTTTCAAGGAGGATTTAATTTTAGGTTAGAAGTTTGTTCAACTGTTAAAGATGTAGTCTCTCTTATTGTTAAATAGGTTACCACTAACATTAGGAAAGCTCTTGTTTATTCTTTTAGAGAGAACCCATCCCAAAACGCTGCAATATTGTTGTTTTATTGTCTGCTTTGATATTTGAAATTTGTATTCTTACTAATACATTTGATTATACCTGTTGTAACAACCCATAATATTTAATAAATTCGATGAATCTATCTCTTCCCCTACCCCTTCTTCCCTTTTGTACCCTACTTTTTTTTAGAAAATAAAAAGATTAATTAAAAAAAAGCTCACTTTCTGACATTTGTGATTAGCTGCACCTCCTTTGGCAGCCATGAATTAGTATTCCAAAGGTACCTGCAGGCTCAAAAAGGTTGGAGACCTCTCTGCTGTATGGAAAGAAGTCTTCCGTTACATTCTCCAAGGAACTGTAACTTGCTAGCGCATGGATCTGCAACCTATGGCCCTCAGAGCTACATGGACTCACCATAAAACCAAATCAAATCGTTAAGTTCTGGTATACTGGAGGTTTAAGTGGGATGCTAGAATAACCAACGTGTGACAGGAACAGCAGGCAAAGATGTTTATGGGACGGAAGGGCTTCTTAGAGATGCTTTACAGCAGAGGTCTCCAACATGGTGGCATAGGGCACCCTATCGCCAGCTCACGTCTTACCTGGTGCCCACCAAAGGCTTTCAGAAGGTGGGCGGAGCCGGGGGGGAGGGTTCTTGGGCCAGCACAGCTTCTGATAGGCTGTGCAGATTAAAATAACATTGCTACGGGGGCAGCTGTCATCAGCATTAGTTTTATTCTCCCTCTCAGTCTTCTTTCCCAGTGTGTGTTGTTTTTTTTTAATTGCCCCTCTTCTCTCCCAGCGGGTGGATGTATGGCTCGACCTCCCATGGAAGCAATTCTGTAGTTGTGTCCAACACACTATGTTGGAATTCCAAAGGTGCCCAGAGGCTCGAAAATGTTAGGGACCCCTGCTTTACAGAAGAAGAGTTGGTTTTATACCCCGCTCTCCCTCCGGTTATTTGCAGGTACAATAAAAACCCCTGCTCTGAAAGGCTATGTCCATGCCTTTTAAGCGAGGTTGAATCGGTAGAGCATATGTTCTTCAGCTGTCCATTTTACAGGGAGGCTCATCTTAAAATTATTACCCCATTCATCGATAGGACACCTGGGCACATTAATACACACAAAGCAAGGCTTCACTGGCTCCTATCAGATCAGAAATGCAGAGGTTACACATTCAGACGCCGAGTTTTGTGCATTAATTCTTAGATTGCGAGAATGGCATTTTAAAAGTTCTTACATTCAGATTTCTATTTCTGTATATTATGACTTTTCCCCCCCTCTCATGTTATGCTTACTCTGTATGTTGGTCTTAAGACCGTAACAATAACAAACCAAACTACCCCGCTATTCACTACCCAATGGAGTCTCGGAGTGGCTCACAAACTCCTTTCCCTTCCCCTCCCCACAACAGACACCCTGTGAGGTAGAAGAAGAAGAAGAGATTGGATTTCTACCCCGCCCTTCACTACCCAAAGGAGTCTCACAGCGGCTTACGAACTCCTTTCCCTTCCCCTCCCCACAACAGACACCCTGTGAGGCAGGTGGGGCTGAGAGAGCTCTTTTGAGAACTGCTCATGAGATAACAGCTCTGAGAGAACTGTCACTGCCCCAAGGTCACCCAGCTGGCTTCGTGTGGAGGAGGAGAAGAAGAGTAGGTTTTATACTTTGCTTTTCTCTACCAGAAGGAGTCTTGAAGTGGCTTACAATCACCTTCCCTTCCTCTCCCCACAACAGACACCCTGTGAGGTAGGAGGGGCTGAGAGAGCGCCTAGAGAACTGCTCTTGAGAGAACAGCTCCGAGAAAACTTGTGACTGACCCAAGGTCACCCAGCTGGGTGCATGTGGAGGAGTGGGGACCCAAACCCGGTTCTCCCAGATTAGAGTCCATCACTCTTAACCACTATATCAGACTGGCTTTCGAACGATAGAGACAAAAAAGGACGTGATAGAGATGAACAGTTGTGTGGCTCTTGTGTTTCTTATTTATTGGAAGACTTTGCATATGTGTCTCCTCCTACAGGAGCTGCGGTGGCTCAAGTGGTTAAGACGCTGAACTGCAGGCTGTGGAAGGTCAGTAGTTCAGCAGTTCGAGACCCGAGTGCACCGCATGACGGAGTGAGCTCCCGTCTCTGGCCCCAGCTCCTGCCAACCTAGCAGTTCGAAAGCAAGAAATTGCAAGTAGATAAATAGGTACCACTTCAGTGGGAACGTAACAGCGTTCCGTGTGCCTTGGTGTTTAGTCATGCCGGCCACATGACCACGGAAACGTCTTTGGACAGCACTGGCTCTTCGGCTTTGAAACAGAGATGAGCACCGCAACCCTAGAGTCGGATTCGACTGGCTTTCGAGCAAGGGAACTTTTACCTTTTTACTCCTCCTACAACAGCCAGTTTTTGGGCTGCAGAAGCTTTCAGGATTGCGCTGAAATTTGACTTTGTATGAGGGTGTTGACCGATATGTTCGAGCCTCAGACAGGCCCATTCCTACTTTCTTCTTCCCCTTTTTCCTTAGCAACTGCTCAGACACTCTTAATGTCCTGGAGTATTTCAACAATGAGCATGGCTCAGTTTTTCCTCTCCTATTGCTCCATTTACAAAGTATTTCCCCCCCACAGGTAGGGAGTCTCCATTCTCCCCCCACTGCCAGGACCCGTCCATTTCACTGCCACCTTGATAGGCACCACACCATTAAGTTTGGAGAAGTGACAACCAATGTTCCCTCTAAGCTGAGTGAGTGTGAGCCAGCTCACAGTTTTTTAGCCTCCGGCTCACACCTTTTTTCTTAGCTCGGGAAGGATGGGGCTCCAGAGCAGACTAATTTATGCAGTAGCCAAATCACCTGCTCACAACTTTAATGCTGGTAGCTCGCAAAGTGGAATGTTTGCTCACAAGACTCCACAGCTTAGAGGGAACATTGGTGACAACACGGTGTATGAATAAATAAATAAGCACTGACTCCAGTAAGCCCTGGCTGATTTGCCACAGCTCCTTCTAACACTGAATGAGATTGCAATGCTGAACGTTGTGCAGTTTGTATAAATTCCTCTGATGAGCCAGCGTGGTATGGTGGTTGAGAGCGACAGACTCTATTCTTGAGAACTGGGCTTGATTCCGCACTCCGCCACATGAAGCCAGCTGGGTGACCTTGGGTCAGTCACAGCTCTCTCAGAGCTCTCTCAGCCTGGGCTAGACTTATTTAGTTCTAAATAGTTATTTAGTTCTAAATAAGTCTAACCCGCCACCTAGTGGTGCATACTGCTAAAAGAACTCCCGCTTTAGGCTGCCAGACAATCTTAGGATCTCTTGGCTATACTACACACAATGCCATACGGTAATTATTAATTATCCTCTGATGTGTACAGTTTGTACCTTACGTCTGATCGGCAGAACCAAGCAGTGAGCCGATCAGACGTAAAGAAAATAGGTCTTTCCAATGCGGCGGTAGGTAAAGAACTGGCAGTATGTCCGCGTCCATCCCTCTAGGCATGCGCAGTGGGGTTCCTGCGCTTGCCTGAGGGAATGGGCACGAAAATCCATTGAAAAGAGCCAGTTTGGTGTCGTGGTTAAGTGTGCGGACTCTAATCTGGGAGAACCGGGTTTGATTCCCCACTCCTCCACTTGCACCTGCTGATGTGACCTTGGGTCAGTCACAAGCTCTGGCACAGCTGTCCTTGAAAAAGAGCAGTTTGTGTCAGAGTTCTCTCAGCCCACCTCACAGGGTGTCTGTTGTGGGGAGGGGAAGGGAAAGGAGTTTGTAAGCCGCTCTGAGACTCCAAGTGAAGGGCGGGGTATAAATCCATCCTCCTCCTCCTCCTCCTCCTCCTCCAGCACCGATCGATCCAGCGCAGGCGCACTAGATCCCATTGGCGTGAAGCACAAAGACCATGAAGAAGATTTATTAATTGTCCTCTGATGTGTACAGTTTGTACCTTCTGAAGGGAACCCGCAGAACCAAGCAGAGGGACCGTCACGGTTTCCCTCTCAAAAGCCCCTGCTTGGCGCCAACACTCACCTCTTCTGGATGAGGTAGTCCTCCAGGATGTCAAGGCATCGGACCATCTGGGAGAAGATCAACACCTTGTGCCCGCCAGCTTTTAATTTGGGAAGCAGCTTGTCGATCAGCACCAGCTTCCCGGAGGAACGCACCATGGCCTGCAAGGGGAAGTCATGGGGCACGTGGTGGTGGCAGGAGTCCCGGAACTCGGTCAGGATCTTCTCCTCTGCACCTGATAGTGGGGGAGGAGGAGGGAGAGACAACGGGAAAGAAGGCCGCCGATAAAATTAGACTGGGATGGATTCTGCACATACAGACTAGCCTGCAACGGGTTTGAAACTTACAGCTAGAATTGTTCTAAAGTCGAGGGATAATCTAAGTAGAGAGAGACAAGAAGAGAAAAGGGGGGGGGGACAGTGCTCTGACTCCATCGATCCTGTACCAGAAATTCCATCACTGCACAGGAAGTCTCAAAAGGGGAGCGGTGGCACAGAGGATTTATCCTCTGGTTAGTAACATCTGAGCTGAACAGTACGGCTGTCAGTTCTAGCCCCGTGTTGGTGTGAGCTACCAGCCTTGTTCCTAGCTCGCCATCCACCCAGCGGTTCGAAAGCTTCGGCGAGTAGATAAAATGGGTACCACTCCTTAGAGAGGGTGGGCACACCAAAGACCCCCCCCCTGGTGGGGGAGGTGTTAGCCGACGACCGGAATGCTCAGCTCACGAGATTGAAAGCCTAAGAAAAAAAATCTCTTCGACTCTGAGAAGCCTGTAATGGGCCGTTCCGGCCAGGAGGTGGCAGTGCGGCGCTGCAAGACCTGGAGAAGCTGACGCCATCTAGCCGAGCCGAAGTGAATACGCCGACGGAATACGTCTGACCCTGCAGCTGAGGAAACCCTCGCCGACTGTGGATGTGTGTGATTTAAAAAGATATATGTTGTCCTCCCTTACCCCCATAAATCATTGTTAGTCCCGCGTGAATGAGTAACTGTAAATCGCTCAGAGCCAGCAAGCTCTGCAGGATTGAGCGATTAATAAATTGAAAGATTATTATTATTACTATTAAATGCATTTATTCTAGAGATTCCTGAGAAACAGAGGTTTGTGTTTTTCATAGATAAACATATATGTCAAGTATTCACTCAAGTAATCCGTTCCAAACTTGGGATTCAGAAGTAACGAAAGCAGAACAGCCTCTGCCATTACAGCAAAGCTATAAAGCCTGAACACTCCCCTAGAAGCTAAAACAACTAAGCCAAGGCTATCGTACTGTGGTCACATGACGAGAAGACAAGACTCACTGGAAAAGACAATACTGCTAGGAAAGGTTGAGGAAGCAGGAAGAGGAAGACCCAACATGAGATGGATTGACCCTATACATGAAGCCACGGTTCTCAGTTTGCAAGACCTGAGCAAGGCTGTTAAAGAAGAGGACGTTTTGGAGGTCATTCATTCATAGGGCCAATGTTCCCTCTAAGCTGTGGAGTCTTCTGAGCAACAATTCTACTTTGTGAGCTACTGGCATTAAAGTTGTGAGTGAGCGATTTGGCTACTGCATAAGTTAGTTTGCTCTGGAGCCATCCCTTTCTGAGCTAAGGCAAAAATGTGTGAGCTGGAGGCTAAAAAACTGTGAGCTAGCTCACACTAGCTCAGCTTAGAGGGAACACTGCATAGGGCCACCGTAAGCCAGAAGTGGCCTGACGGCATTTAACACACACACGCACATATAAAAAGATATCCATATTCCTGCGCGAATTTTCCTTCTAGATGTCCCACTCTGTTTTACCAGGTCTGGGGCTCAAAGTAAGAAAATTAACCCTTTACTCGACCCCCGATTACCATCAAGCCTGCAACAGAGATTTTGCCGGCTGCGTCGTAACTCTACTTCTTCTGCCTCGGCGCCCTTTCCTGCAGCACCCGAATCCCGTGATCTGCCCACCTCTCCCCCACCGGAACGTACCGTTGATGAGGTAGGGGTGATTGCAACACTTCCGTAGCTCCATCATGGTGTTGAGCAGGTTGGGCATGTTGCTGTGACCGGCCCCCTTGGAGAGGAAGTTGAAGTTCTTCTCCAAGATGGCCCGGTAGTACTTCTTCTGGATGTTCGTCAGCTCCACCTCGATGATTGTCTCCTGCTTGGGAGCCAAGTTCTTCTCCACGTCCTCCTTCAGCCGCCGAAGCATCATGGGCTTCAGGATGGCCTGCAGCTTCTGGACCTGCATCGGAGAGGAAGCGTGGATGAGCCTTCAGGTCGAACGGAGGGCCCAGCCAGAGGCAGAGAAGCAAGGGGGGAGCTTGGGCTAGGGCACGGCAAAAGCCATCCAAATACTAACAGCTTGTAAGATTCCAAAAGACCCTGCTCTAATCCTCCTTAATTTGTGGCCCAAAACGGGTATCCAAAAGTCGATAAGAGAACTGATTTCGGTACTTTTAACTGCAGCGAAGTGTACCATTGCAAAGAATTGGAAAACCCAGGCTGTCCCCTCTATAGACCATTGGTACACTAAACTATGGGAATATCTGATTGATGACAAAATTGCTGAATGGTCCGCCCAGCATAATCTAATCGAAAGCACTCAAAGCCCGATGAACAAATGGAAGGTTTTGCTAGCTAAACAAAACAGGTTTATGATGCACAGGCCACGTAATCCTTGGACAAATGCCTTGCCACTATACATGTTTCATTAGGTTAAATTGATATTGTATAACCTTTAGTTTTGATGTTAGTTATCTATTAGTTTGATGTAGGTATAGTTGTTATGTTTGTCAACAAGATACTGTTTGGAAAGTTAATTTCTCCTTTTTGTTGTTACTGTATCAATATTTTTTATTGTATGTTGTATGTCATAAAATAATATATATAAAAAAAAGCTATCCATCTGCTGGGGACTGGAGATACATACGAGCAATGTTCCCTCTAAGCGATGGAGTCCTGTGAGCAAAAATTCTACTTTGTGAGCGACTGACATTAAAGTCGTGAGCAGGTAGTTTGGCCACTGCATAAATTAGTTTGCTCTGGAGCCCTCCTTCCTGAACTAAGACGAAAATGTGTGAGCCGGAGGCTAAAAAAACGGTGAGCTAGCTCACACTGACTCAGCTTAGAGGGAACACTGCATACAAGTAACGGAGGCCCTGATCCACACGACCCAGATTAGCCCGATCTCATCACATCTCAGAAGCTGGGCTCCTCTGCTGAAACACCAGTCAAAAACGGTGTCGATGAATGAACACACCAATTGAACACAATTACCTCCTCTAGAATGAAATCATGTACAAAAATAATAACACGTATCCATAGCAACGAACGTAACAAACCACATCCTCTCCTACAGCACTGTCGCAGTAGTCAGTGACTTTCGGAGTGGAAGATGAAAGCACTGACTTTTGATAAAGCACCAGTGAAACGTAGGGATCTGGAAGCTAGCCATCGCGCAAAGGGGCCAAGTTGAAATTGCAAGCCGTTGTTATTTTCCTTACTACTTTGAGTTGCGGTCAAACCGGGGCTCCTCTTCAGTTCTTCACTCGAGAAGTTTTGTGAATCAAGAGATCACCGGCAAATCTTTCAGCCATGAGATGCCGTCAGTTTGATTAATAGTCCTGTGGACCAGTGTTCCCTCTAAGCTGAGTTAGTGTGAGCTAGCTCACAGTTCTTTAGCCTCCAGCTCACACATTTTCGTCTCGACTCAGGAAGGACGGCTCCAGAGCAAACTAATTTGTGCAGTAGCCAAACCACTCGCTCACAACTTTAATGCCGGTAGCTCACCAAGTAGATTTTTTTGCTCACACAACTCCACAGCTTAGAGGGAACATTGCGGTGGACACGATGAACTTTGGGGCGTATCCGCGTTTGAATGCCATTTTGAGTTCACAGCGTGTTTCACAACAGGAGGTGGTTGATGACATTTACTGTTACAAACATGTGTTGTTATTTTTGTGCATTATTTCATTCCAGAGGAGAATTGTGTTCAATTGGCGTGTTTATTCATGGACACAGTTTTTGCTTGGTGCTTCTGCTTTACTGTGTATTTCTGCTTTGTGATTTTGCTGGGCCTCCTCTGCAGGGCACGGGGGGGGGGGCGGCGTGTGTCACTCTGGGTGCTGCTCTCCTCGCTGCCTCTGGAGCAGGTCGTCCCCCACCCTTCGGAGCCTGGCACTTGCCCGTTCGGTGGCAGGTCATCCTCTCTCCGAGCCTTTCCCCTGGACAGCTGCCTTGCTGGGATCCTGCACTGGGCAGCCGCCCCCTTCTTTGCCTCCTTCCCCTCGCCGTGCCACCTCCCCCGATATAGAAGAGGATCCGGCAGTCGCCTGACCGAAGCCAGCTGGAGTTCAGAAGCGGCCAGCAGCCGATCTGCCTGGCTGGCTGAGCGAACCTCTCTCTTTCTCGCCCCTCCGTGACCCTCCCTGCCAGCACGTGTGTAAGTAAAATGCCTTGGCAAGATTGCAGCCTGTTAGACAGATCATGGCGATCGCAATGACAGTCAGGAGTCACATGACTGGACTGTCAGGACCCACAGCCAAACAACAGAGCACACACTTCCAAGAAAGGTTTTACACTTCCAAGAAAGGTTTTAAAGCGCTTAGGGCTCTTTAGCTTGGAGAAACGACGACTGAGGGGAGACATGATTGAGGTTTATAAGATTATGCACGGGCTAGAGCAGGTAGAGAAAGAGGTACTTTTCTCCCTTTCTCACAAGACAAGAACTCCTTGTGGGCACTCCATGAAATTGCTGAGCGGTCAGGTTAGAACGGATAAAAGGAAGTCCTTCTTCACCCAAAGAGTGATAAACACATGGAATTCACTGCCACAGGAGGTGGTGGCGGCTACAAGCATGGACGGCTTCAAAAGGGAATTAGATAAGTATATGGAGCAGAGGTCCATCAGTGGCTATTAGCCACAAGGTATAGATAGGGGCTCTGGGGCAAGTGATGCTCTGTCTTCTTGGTGCTTGGGGGGGGGTCAACAGTGGGAGGGCTTCTAATGTCCTGGCCCCACTGGTGGACCTCCTGATGGCACCTGGTATTTCTGGCCACTGTGTGACACAGAGTGTTGGACTGGATGGGCCTTTGGCCTGACCCAACATTGGCGTCTCTTATGTTCTTACTTTATTGTTAGTACTATGGTTGCAGTAACATGGTCAAGTTACTGCAACCATAGTACTAACAATAAAGTAAAACCTTTCTTGGAAGTGTGTGCTCTGCTGTTTGGCTGTGGGTCTTGACATGGACATATTGCATCAGCCTGCAGGAGGTGCTTCAATGACTCAGCCTCTCTGTCCTGATTGGATATCTGGACTATAGCATTGTGTATATAAGCCTGTACTGTATACCATTCTATGCCAGTGTGGTATTAGGTCACTTGGCAAAGCACTTTGTCTGTTGGAACTATAAATGCTTTGCTATAAGGACTGTGTAAATATTGTAAATAAAGTGTAAACGGCACTAAACTGAGCTGGTGTGTGCAAGTGCTATATGACTCTGCAACAACGATCATCGACCACAAACCGTCACTCCCCTCCCTCCCCTCTTAGTTACCCCGTCAGCCAAGGGCGCCTGGCTGAGCAAGCGGCGCCAGCACCATGCGGTAGTGCTGCCAAGTGCCGGGAGCCCTCGCTGGACTAGACGGACCGCAGGGCTCTACTTAGGTCTCTGCGGGGGTAGAGGAAAAATACCTGCTCCTCAGTTTTGAGGTCACCAAAGTCCTTGAGGAACTCCGATTCTGAGGGGAACTGGGAGGGCTCGAGGAAGTGCAGGAGGCTGAAGAGCTCTTCCACCGTGTTCTGCAGGGGGGTGCCAGTCAGTAACACTTTGTGCTCCTAAAGGGGGGGAGAGAGAGAAAGAAAGATACTGAATGTCGTGCAGCAGGCAAGAGGAAGCTGCATTCCGGGGTGGATGACTCTCACCCTCTGCCGTGGACTCAACAGGGAGACGTCAATCAGCTGGGCACAGGGATAACATCCTGGCCCACCTCACAGGGCTGCTGTGTCAGGACCAATGCTCCCTCTAAGCTGTGGAGTCCTCTGAGCAAAAATCCTACTTTGTGAGCTCCTGGAATTGAAGTTGTGCGCGGGTGATTTGGCTTCTGCGTCAATTAGTTTGCCCTGGAGCCCTCCTTCCTGAGCTGAGACAAAAATGTGTGAGCCGGAGGCTAAAGAACTGTGAGCTGGCTCACACTAACTCAGCTTAGAGGGAACACTGGTCAGGACTGAGAGGTGACGCACACAAAGCGTTCTGAATAGGAACTGAATTACGACCCAGGACCGAACGATGGTTCCTAGTGACTATCTTTGATGAGCGCACCTCAGTATATACAGGACTGATTTAAAACCATTGCTAGGAGCTTCACTTTTTTAGTGACTCATTATAGGAACTGCTAGACATGAAAAAGATACTTTATATTGTTACAGTTTTATGTGTACGTTAGTACAATTTTGACCACTGGAGAAGGCCCTATGGGCTGAAATATATCGGGTCTTTGGTTAATATACATGTGACCATTATTGTGATTCTTTATTATTGGACGTCCAACTTCACCGCGTTGCTGTATATTATGATCGGAGTTTTTAATGGTATCCTCCTATGCAAGTCATTTTTAATACTAAAATTCTGTGCACTGTGTAATAAATATTATACCCCGCCCTTCACTACCCAAGGGAGTCTCAAAGCTGCTTACAAACTCCTTTCCCTCCCCCTCCCCACAACAGACACCCTGTGAGGTGGGTGGGGCTGAGAGAGCTCTGACAGGAACTGCTCTTTTTTTCAAGGACAGCTCTTATCAGAACTACCGCTTGCCCAAGGTCATACCAGAGGGGCAAGGGCTGGCTGCAAAAGCCAGCGTCAAATCTGAATGGCAGCTTGGGCGTCACTTCCTTTCCACCGCTGCCCCCAAAGGAGGCGGGGAGAGAAGAGGGTTCCCTACCAAGTCCATGTGCTTGAGGCTGTCCAGCAGTTTACAGTTGCGGTTCTTCAGGCGGTGGGCTTCGTCGATGATGACGCAGCGCCACTCTATCTCCCGCAGCTCCGGGCAGTCAGAGAGGATCATCTCGAAGGTGGTGATCAGGGCATCAAACTTGTACGCGCCCGGGATCAGGCGGCCCTGTCGGCAAGAGGACATGACCACATATCACGCAAGCGGCCTTCTGAGTCTATATACCTCGATTTATCAAGCTCCTAGTCTTTCCGGTTTTCCTAATAAATCCAGCAAGCAACGGTACAGCGATTGTAAGGATCAACTGAGACGGCAAGGTCTTGACCGTGGTTCTCAAGGAGGGGAGGGGAGTGGGCTTTCGAGAACCAAAGCTCCCTTCGTCGGATACGAGACGGAATGGAGATCGCCAAGTCTTTACATATCCCAGTCAGGAGGGAGGGGTGTTGCCAAGAAGGAATGTGCCTTGTAATCGGCTACATTAGAGCAGAGGGGAAATCCTGAGGGGGAGAAAATTGGCAGCTGTGGTGAGACAAGAACCCAATGTCCCTGTTCAGACCTATATGTTCAGATAAGAGAATTCCGGGATCTCCGTTCTAATTTGTATCTGATGAAGGGAGCTTGGACTCTCAAAAGTTTATACTCTGAAATTGTTGCTGGTCTCCATGGGGCTACTGGACATGCATCCAGCTCTTCTACTGCAGACGAACACGGCTACCCACGGAAACTACCTCTTTTTTTTTGTGTGTGAAGAAGAGGAGATTGGATTTATACCCCGCCCTTCACTCAGCCTCAGAGCGGCTTACAAACTCCTTTTCCTCCCCCTTCCCACAACAGACACCCCGTGAGGTAGGTGGGGCTGAGAGAGCTCGTGAGAGAACTGCTCCTGAGAGAACAGTTCCGAGAAAACTTGTGACTGACCCAAGGTCATTCCAGCAGCTGCATGTGGAGTGGGGAATCGAACCCGGTTCTCACAGATTAAAGTCCGTGCACTTAACCACTACACCACCGAGTATCTGTGCGTGTGTATGCTAAGAGCCAGTTTGGTGTAGTGGTTAAGAGCACTGATTCTAATATGGGAGAACCAGGTTTGATTCCCCACTCCTCCACATGCAGCCGCTGGTGTGACCTTGGGTCAGTCACAAGTTCCCACGGAGCTGTTCTATCAAGAGCAGTCCCCGGAAGAGCTCTCTCAGCCCCGTCTCCCTCACAGGGTGTCTGTTGTGGGGAGGGGAAGGGAAAGGAGATTGTAAGCTGAAGGGCGGGGTATAAATCCAATCTCTTCGTCTTCTATGTGTGTATGCCTGGAAGTCATGGTTGATTTCTGGCAACTCCGTTTCAGAGAGGTGGCTTACTATTGTCTGCCTTTGCGTCCTGGGGCCCCAGTGTTCCTTGGAGGTTTGCCCTTCCAAGTCCTTGCCAGGGTCACCCTGCTTAGCTTCTGAGATCTGACGAGATCAGGTCAAGGCTCCTCTGAAACTGTCTTTACGGATTCCTGTCGCAGTTGCTAAAACTTCATTTTTCATAATGATACCCACACACGTACTTTTTTTTTAAGTGGCATGTGTCCCCTTTTCAAATCTACTTTGCATTCCTCCCCCTGACATCCTGAAGATAGGCTCCTGTGCCCTGCCCGCCTCCCAAATGCAGCCTCCCCCCCCACCGCCATACCCGGGAGTCTTTGCAGTACATCTCATACTGCTGGATCATCTGGCGGGAGGCCAGGCTGCCGTGGTAGACGATGGTGTTCATCTCGGTCCACGTGTTGAACTCCCGCTCCCAGTTGGTGATGGTGGAGAGCGGGGCGATGACCAGGAAGGGCCCTCGGATGCCCACGTTGTAAACCTCCTGGAGGAAGGCGATGGACTGGATGGTTTTGCCCAGACCCATCTCGTCGGCCAGGATGCAGTTTTGCCTGAGCAGGGGCGGGAGGAGAAAGGAAAGGATCATCAGTCACGGCCGTTCTTGGATTAAGTCCCTTAACTCCAGGGGTCGTTTCATAGAAAAAGAGCTAGGGGAACTCATTAGCATAATTCATTAGCATACGCCACACCCCCTGACATCACCGGAAGTGTGTCATAAGGCCACACCCCCTGACATCACCGGAAGTGTGTCATAAGGCCACACACCCCGTCCTCAACGGTCCCGGCCGCCGGCGGCGGCCTTGCAGCTCCACTGCCGGGCCCAGGGGCCCGGCGGTGGACCTGCAAGGCCGGCGGGAGTGCAAGGAAGCCGCGCGAAGGCCCTCCCTGGCCCCAGGCAGGCAGGGGTGGGGAGAGGCAGGGAGGAAGCAACTTACCCTCCCCTCTTCTCCTGCCTCCTCCTGGTTGAATGAGGGCCGGAAGCGGGGTGGCCAGAAGCAGGGGGCGGGGCTTCATGGTGTGCCCCGCCCCCCGTACCTCACCCGGGGGAACTGCGATCCCCCGCGATTCCCCCCTGAAATGACCTCTGCTTAACTCACTACCTACAGATCTGGGCATACGATCACCGGCAGGGAGGAGAGAAAAGGCCGAGGGACTTGGGAATGTTCGGTCTGGAGAAGAGGAGGTTGAGGGGGGACAGGATGGCTCTCTTTGAAGGGCCGTCACTTAGAGGAGGGCAGGGAGCTGCTCCTGTTGGCAGCAGAGGAGAGGACTCGCAAGAATGGGTTGAAATTAAAGGCGGGAAGGTACTGGCTGGATATTAGGAAAAACTTTATGACAGTCAGAGTTTGTGCAACAGTGGAGTCAGCTGCCTGGGGAGGTGGTGAGCTCCCCCTCCCTGGCAGTCTTTAAGTAGCGGCTGGACCAACGCTTGTCAGGGATGCTCTAGGCCAGGGGTGTCGCCCAGGGGCCGGATCAGGCCCCCAGAGGGCTTTCATCAGGCCCGCAGTGGAACTGACCATCTCCTGCTTCCAGTTCTGCTGCTGCATCATCGCTTGCTTCGCCAGACTCTCTCAATCGCTCAGCCATTTCATGTTTTAACCTGGGTCCTAGGCTCAGAGCTCTGAGCATGAGATTTCTGTGGCGAATGTCAATAAATCAAAAGTAGGTCTGCAGCTTACAGATACACACTTGAACGGCAAACTCCAGACTGCAACAGCACAGACATTTCGTTGCAATAATTCAGAGCAAGAGGTTATCAGACGTTGTTAAATAAACAAAATATTGCAAGAGTGTTTTAAGCATGTTTTTATTTTAAGTTTAAAAAAATCTTTGTGTTTGTGTCCTTTATAAAGTTTATATCTCCTCTACCTGGCATTACATCTTATGACACACGTGGCCTGGCCCAACAAGGTCTCGTTTATGTCAGATCCGGCCCTCATCACAAATGAGTTCGACACCCCTGCTCTAGGCTGATCCTGCATTAAAGCAGGGGGTTGGACTAGATGGCCTGTATGGCTCCTTCCAACCCTGTGATTCTAGGATTCTAGGCTCAGGATACAGGACAAGTCCGAGGGACGCCCTGTATTTCCCTAACTAAGCACACAGAAACCACTGCTGACGCTCGAAGCAGTGAGTCAGGCTGGCTTATTAATCACAGCTGATGTCAACCATGACTTGCTGCGGCATCTAAATCCAAGAAGCTGTGGCCAGCTGAGTGATGCTGCCGCAGAGGGCACCTGACCACAGCAGCTCGAAGAAAGACGCCGTTCCTCGATCGAAGGAGAAAAAGAGGCAACGCACAAGCAAACCCAGACTCGGCACTGATGCCTGGCAATCTAAACTGGAGTGTGTTGTGGTATCTGAGCGTGGCCATCGTTTCCCATCTTGAGAATCTCAGAATTCTTCCTTGAAGCAGCCAGTTATTTAAAGTGCCCGGCAAGGTTCTAGTCCTCAAGTTCGTAAGAAGATTGGCATAGTAAGGGTGGTGGGATGGGGAGGCTGATGACAACTCAAAAGCCGAAAGTGATCCAAAGATCTGCAGTTGCGGGATGGGGCTAGACAGCGCTTTGGCACCGTCAGTGTACAGGTATGTAAGGCCAACAGGCAGTTTAGCAGCAGGGACTGAAATCCCCACCCGTGGGGACAACAGTACCCCACAGCCATTCGGGCTTCCCTTTCTGCCCCCCGGCTCACCTGTTGTACCAGTTGAAAAGCAGCCAGTTCACACCCTCCAGCTGATATTCTCGCAGCTGGTTGCCGTTTTTGTACTCATGGGAAAGCTCCAGCTTCTTCCAGGAACCTGCCTGGGGGCGAGCCTGAAAAGCAGGAGAGAGAGAGACCCTTGTGCATCAAGGAGCCCGATGGGCAAAGAAAGCGACAGAGTACAGGACTCTGGCTGCAGAACTAGACGACGACGTGAAGCAAGCAGTCCAGGCATCACTAAAATATTTGCTATGGCGGATAGAGAGTTGCTAGTTCCAGGGTGGGAAATTCCTCAAGATTCGAGGTGGAGCCCGAGGAGATCAGGACGGGACCTTAGCAGGATAATACCACAGAGCAGGGGTGTCAAACATAAGGCCCCGGGGCCAGAACTGGCCCGTCCAGGGCTCTTACCCGGTCTGCAAGCAACTGGTATGTATGGAAATACAAGGGACTCCCCTTTTATGATATTGCCTTGGGGAAAAAACTCAGCCTTGTAAATGATTAAATACAAGGGGCTTTTGTGGGCTCCCCAGAAAATCAGTTCCTTTCACTGCTAGGAATCAACTGCTTTTGTTTGTATATTGAGTAAAAAGAATATCGTTCATTGGGTTTGCCCGTGTCCATGATAAAAGTTTATATCTTCGGTGCCTGGCATTACGTTTTATGGCACACACGGCCCGGCCTGACAAAATGACATTTATGTCAGATCTGGCCCTCGTAAAAAAACGAGTTCGACACCTCTGCCACAGAGAATGCCTCAAAGGTCAATCAACAGCAGATGAAATGTGTGTCAAAAGAAATATATTCATTTTGTAGTGCACACAATAATGTGGTTAAAAACACAGGGCCTGAATATCAGGCTGCATCAAAAGCCATCGAGAATCAGTTGTACATAAGCAGTTCTGCATGAGCTATTTATAAATCCCTCCTACAGGGATGAACTGGCTGCCTTGAGGGCTGTATTCAGGTGGAAAGTATTATATATATACAAGGGGCGGGACCCGAGATAGTCGCGGGGGGGGGACCTCGACACTTATGAGGCAGAGGAGGAAGCAGGAGGAGGAGGTAAGTTCCCCCCCATC